GGTGGCAATGCTACCTATGTTGTGGGTGGGCATCGCACTAGAATACCCTATTTACCAGGCATACACGGCCAACACAAGCGCGTATATTGATATTTACACGGGTAGACCAGAACGCGACTATTCGAGTGTACTAACGCAAGTATGGACTTATGCACTGTATCTGACCGGAATGCAGACCTGGAGTACAAAGGACACAAAGCCTATGCTCGACATGTGGTACGCTGCTACGCAATGGAATCTGTACCTAATCTCCCCCCTGGTGTTAATATTCTTACGCCACATACGAGTAGGCGTACTGCCTTCAGTTGGAAATAAGCCGACGTCAGGCGCAAAGAGGCTTATACTGGTCTGCCTAATTGTGGCTTTGTTGATTTGGACTTACTTCGCGGAGACATGTGTATTCATCTGGGCTATCGCCAACCCTCTCGAGCACCTACCCGCATTTGTGGTAGGCATTTTGACTGCAGAAATTACCGTGTCCGCGTTAAAGGATAGCATGTCACTGCCCACACACCGTGCTTATGATCTACACCAAGGCAAATGGACAAGCCTCAAACACAGAGTCTCCCGCATAGTGACAATCGACACCATGGGAGCCGCACTGGTGGTGTCTGCGATCTGCCCACTGGAAATGTTCGGTACTTTCCAGCCAGTTGTTGCAGATAGTGTGGCCTATGTATTGATGCCACTGCTGTTCTGTGCTTTGCTGTACAGGCTCAGTAATATACAGCAGCGCAACTCGAGCTTCCTGATCCTGATTCTAAGCTGTAAACTGATCAATAATGTGGGTGCGTTGTCATATCCTCTATATATTGTGCACAAAGCTCTGGGAGACTACTACATCAACCAGGCCGTGCACCCAGAGAAGCACATTGACACACCACTGGCCGAGTTTTGGCTGCACGGGGAAGGGGTTGTGATGAAGGCGACGGTCTTCTGTGCTGCCTTCGTGGTGGCGTGGTGTCTGCAACACTACTATCAGAACAAGTTGGTGGTACCCGCGTTTGTGCGAATCCAGACATGGCTGGCTAGCAAACAATAAATGAATACTAAAATGATACTTATTTGACGGAATATACTATGCTATGAGCGTATTAGTTCTATTGCCATACTATAAAACACACGTGTATGTATATGCCAGGCCTTTATCGATTATTTGTGTAGCATGTCTCTCCAACGATACCAACATACACGGACAGCGCTGTAATTTGAGTCGACTTACAAGCAGCGTTCGATACAGACACGGTGAAGATATTTCTAAAACCCTCCACAGAAATAAGTTGTGAAGCAACTAAATGGTTATCCCTTTATAGTAAAATTTATAGAAACACTGTGGTATAGGACAGTACGACATAACTAATTTGGTAGCCTAAAACGGCCCGTATCATTCAGCCGCACCTCTACATTCCCAACTTGTACTGCGCTATCCCTGAGCGGCTATGTGCACGTGGTTTTATGCCGTGCTAGGCTTGGATCACTGGCAAGCTCGCTGAATACAATAGCTATCCACACCAGGCACAGGTCTCCGAACACTCGCCCAGATGTATTCAGATGGACTTATGCCATGCTAGATTATGCTGAATCCTACTTATAGATTTCTGGGTTGGTCCTTGCAATCTGGGGATGTATACCCGACGCTGGCTTACGCTCTGCTGCACGCCCCAGCCAAACCGCGTAACCTTTATGCACAGCCGGTGGTGACCCAAGCGAGAAACAACAACGTCCCCGTATCGGCAACACATTACACATTACCATGTATGCTTTCGCTTGGCTGCGGTTTAGACGCCAAAGCAGAGGCATTGTTCCTCATTGAGTGTCCTATCGCAGAAGCACTAACGTGGTACAGTGGCCACCTGGTTGCTTGTCTGTCAATCTTTCTTCCGCCGATGACGCTGGTCATGGGCAGGCTCATATGTATTCCCTAACATGAGTGGAGAACCCGTCTGTGAGCTATAACTCTCATCAACGATCACGTCAATGCAATTGCGCAAGCATACACACCCGCTGAGCAGCTGACAGTACTGTTGACACACTAGAATGCCTCCAACAATATTCCGATGAGGTCAAGAAGAAACTGTATGTGTGCATATGTATCTCTGTACTTTTCTTGATACATACGCATATACGACCACGCAGGTATGCGTGTTCCCGCTGTCTATTTAGTGCATCAGTCTGGAATCTACTTGTTCGTTGTTTGTGGGTGACTCTCAATATGAGCCATTGACGTGGAGTACGTCGTCCGGAGCGAGTACCTTTAAAGAAAAAATTATACTTTAGGTCAATGGTGGGACAATGCAAGCATAATTTAAATACATAGTCTAGCGAGACATATATATATATATATGTACACACACACACACATATATATATATATATATATGTATATACATACATACATACATACATACATATACATATATGCATATATAGATACACACACACACACACACATATATATATATATATATAGGTATATAGATAATATATAGATAGTTGTAATATAGATGTAGACGTATAATATATATATATATATATATATATATAAAGATATATAATAATTTTCCTGGAGATCATGTAAATATTTGAACATGTACATGATATTGAAATCCAAATCCGAACCGGTCGCGGTTAATGCACAGACACAGCCACCCACAAAGTGGCCGTGGGCTCTTAAAGCACGAATATCACTCCAACCAACCAGCTTACCTGATGTCTAATCTATTTTGGCATGAGAACCCATTCAGGTATGATCTATACCGAATTGTGCGAAATTGGGTATCCTCGGGTAGGTGAAGACTTCCTCCTCCGTTGTATTTTTGCAATCCACGAAGGCGGAGAATTTGCGGAACATATTTTGGTTTTGGCTCAACACTGTGACGGTCACATTCATGCGGAAATCGAGACGCTCCTGCGATTTTGAATTTCGGAGATTTAAAAAAAATTAAGCGACAGTCCGGTACGAAGCAAAATATTGAGATAACAACCTACCGAGAATAGGCCAGAACTTACATTGGTAGTATTTTATACATATATATGAGACAGAGTACATAGTACTATTTGTGGGAAGACACTAGTTTTGACACGACATGCCTAGTGGTCTATTGTGAACAGACGAACAACTGGCAGTGGTTCTGGGAGGATTGCATGACGTTTATGAGACGGTAGCTATAACCCAAACGAAGGCCTTAAACCACTAACCATTTCATATGAAGTACAGATTATCTGTATTTGTACTTGTGCATGTTCGGTTCTATTGTACTCTGAACAATGCATGGCGCACACTTGCCATTGGTTCGTGTACAAGATGCAGTAGTTGAGCACAGTGCAAATCAGTATTTTCGTTGTGATTTAACATTTTTCATTGCTATATATACTTCTTTATACTATATTATATATATTGTATATTGCTTCTATACAATGGCAACATAGAATATATACAGGGCACACTCAGCATTTGCGGGCAGAAGGTGTCATTCTAGGACAGTATAGGAACTAGCAGTGATTTTAACAGTATAATATATTAATACACAATACATACATAGCATTTGCGAGACAACCATGCAGTTCTTGAGCCTGGTGCAATTGGTAGATATCTGTCGTAATGACAACGTGTAGTGGTTCTAACAGGACAATATCAAACCCTAAAACCCCTAAAACGCACATGGTACCAACTTACCATTTGCGGGAAGAAGATGCAGTTCTTAAACATAGACCGCGCCGAGTCTCGCGTCAGCTGGTCGACGTTTACGGTCACATCGACCTATCAGTGGATGAAAAGATCAGATGTACTACGTCAACCCAGATGACTCAATCTAACAACACGGCCAAGGACTATCGGTGGATGAAAAGATCAGATGTACTACAACCACCCAGACGACTCAATCAGAGTAACAACACGACCAAGGACTATCAGTGGATGAAAATATCAGATGTACTACAACAACCCAGATGACTCAATCCGAGGGACAACACGACCGAGGACTATCTGTGGATGACAAGATCAGATGTACTACATCAACCCAGATGACTCATCTAACAACACGACCAAGGAATATCAATGGATGAAAAGATCAGATGTACTACGTCAACCCACACGACTCAATCAGAGCAACAACACGACCAAGGACTATCAGTGGATGAAAAGATCAGATGTACTACAACAACCCACACGACTCAATCCGAGTAACAACACGACCAAGGACTATCAGTGAATGAAAAGATCAGATGTAGTACATCAACCCACACGACTCAATCAGAGTAACAACACGACCAAGGACTATCAGTGGATGAAAAGATCAGATGTAGTACATCAACCCAGATGACTCAATCCGAGGAACAACACGACCAATGACTATCTGTGGATGAAAAGATCTGATGTACTACATCAACCCAGATGACTCAATCTAACAACACGACCAAGGACTATCAGTGGATGAAAAGATCAGATGCACTACAACAAACTGAAAACGTATCCTGCGTTTCCCAGAGTTGGTATAAGAGGACTTTTAACGTTGAAGTGTAGCATTAATAGTGTCGCACTCTGAAGTACGGGAATAGTCGCCGTTACGGTCAGAACGCTAAACTTTAAAAAACTCTAAACCCTAAAACCGCTTGCGCAATAAAGTTCCCTCAAATAGCAGCTTGATGGGCACATTGCCTGCAGGTATTTCGTACAGTAGATATATAATATATATCACCGTTACCGGAGCACCCACACTTGCCAATGAATAGAGAGAATGAACTACTACTTCCACACAGGGTCTAGAATACGCACAGACTTACCTCTAATTTACCGGAGCACCCACACTTACCAATGACTTGCCAATGAAGAGAGAGAGAGTGGACTACTTCTTCACACAGGGTCTAAGGTACACACAGACTTACATCTAATTTGTCTCGTGCTGGGACAATCATATTCCGTACCACCGCTCGACCGGAGAACGAGCCGCGGTAGAAGACTTCCAGCTCAATGCTGCTCACAGACGCGGCTAGGAAGTTATTGTTGGTGACGGTGATGTGATCCTGATTTTTAAGATAATTGGATTCAAGAATTAGGAATCAGGAATTTAGGGCATATCGAGAAGCAACGAAATATAAGAAACGTCCAAGTGCAGTTCTAAGACGAATCAAATCGACATGCGGAATATGATCAAGCCAAGCAACGGATTCAATTGTCTCCGCACAACAAAGTAGGTGGCTTGTTCCTTATCCACGTGCACAACAGTGTGAATACAAGCGCCTACGCAGATCTCCCGTTATTAAGTTCTTTACAGCTGCAGATACAACATAGATAGATATACTATACTCCCATCTGTCTGAAGATCTTTCTATAAATATACTTACATATCTATCTACCCATCTACCTATCTATCCATCCATCTATCTACTTACCTATCTACCTATATACATATACATATATATATATATATATATATCACAATTCATTCACTTGCAAAGTGACCGTACCATGCTATTTCCAGCACATCCACCTCCATGTATTCGCCAGTTAATACCATCATGCGACACTGTGTTGACGCCAAATGAATATACCTGTAATGTGACGTTGACATTCTTTTCTCCCGGGGCAGAAGGTGGTTCCGGAGGAATATACGACGACAGCGTTTCGATCTCTCTCGAGTATGTCATCTCGAGATCGCGCGGAAAGATCAGATACAGGCAAACAAATGCCACTATGGCTGTCAAGCCTACGCTGATGCTAACCACAAACAAGCTGGATCGTGTGTTCGAAGTGTGGCGGTGTGGTATTAGTGGGTGGGCAGATATTTTGGATTGGGGTGTGCCTACGACTTCCGTGAGATAGAATGGTACATACAATTGCCCATGAAATGAATAGTCTTGATGACTAACAGCGTGCTACAACTTTGTCCGTGCGGATGCAATGCATTTATGGAGATCTGCGCCATACCTCGCAAGTCATGCAGCGTGCATGAGCCGACGCATTGTTCGGTATACGGCAAGTTTAAAATAAACGCTGACTTATATATATATATATATATATATACACCTACAACACACACACACACACACACA